CGGGAGGCAATAAAGAAACAGAAATGAATGGAGACAAAGTTAGAGAATGAAAGGTGGATTTTTAAATTATTTTTTTAATTTCTGGAAATCTAGATCTCCATATAGATCTACAGGACAAAGAGAGATGTCATACAGAATCCTGTATTTTTAGGGCCACTAGATCTATCGTTTGCCTTTTAACAAATCCTATTTTGGGGTGAATATAATTTGATTTGTAAAGCCGGGGCAAATCCTGTATGCAAATTGTCTCACCGACTTACACTGGCCACGTCAAACGAGCGGATGTGTGGGCGGCCATAGACGTGTGCGACAATAGCCTAGATCGTGTACGCTGACGTCATTCCAGTGAAATATTATGGGGTACACAGTTTGACGCTTTGTGAAACCAATTTTAATGAAGGGCAAGTTAGGAGGGGGAAGCTACGTGCGCACTCGACTATAGCGAGACTGGTGATTTGTGCTTCGTCTGTGCTTGCATGGTGCGCACCGGTGAGGCGAAGTGTTTTATAGAGCTAGGGAGAGCTAAGAGTAGTGGCCATGACAGTGCCCGGTCTATAGTGCTGTCAAAAATTCGTGGCGCAACTTATTCTCAAATATCTTTTTAACGGGTAAATCAATGTCACGCACACTTTGCACAGCAATTTACAAATTGTCTTAACTTAATCATATCTTCCCACATCAATATTGAGGCTGATTAAAAAACTTTTCTTTATAAATTTATATGAAATACTACAAATTTCCTTCTTACGGATAAAATGGAATCGTTCACAGAACTTACCGCTTCTCACACACATTTTGCGTACGCATATAACCTACGTCACAGCTCACCAATGACACTTTTTAGTTGCCAAACTAGACACTAGAAATTAATTTTATTGTGAACACCTTTTGTACTAAAAGTTCTCAAAACATGCAATCAATAAAGATAATCTGTAGATTAGAAGAAAAAAAATGACGGACTTGCTTTAAAAAGCGATATCGTCCCTGCTCTAAACCTTTTTAAAATCAGTAGAAACAACAAACTGGGATTTTTATTAGCATAAAGAAATTTTCTACAATTTAGCTAACAGGTCATTACAAAAATAATAATCTGTTAAGACAAATTGATACAAGTCACCGTGCAAAAACTGAAGAGTTTACATTCCATAGTTGAAGATATATTTGACAATAATAAATTGCGCCACAAATATTTGACCGCTCTATGAGATATATCATATTGTACTCCACGTCTGTGACGTGGGGAAATGTCGTGAACTTGTCACGCTGACCAAAGCTGCATGGCTCGCTGAAATGACTCTTTTTGTAAATGTGTGTGTTTTTACGCCTCCGTCGACCCAATTTAGATCATTTCGGAGGCGGGCTTCGATCATGCCTGTGAGGCCCAACCGGGGCTGAGAGAGATACACAGAAATACCGAGATACCTTATAATAATATACAAAATTCTACCAACATAGAAATGTAATCCAGGTCTCCTGCGTGTGACAGCGAAGCGTATAACCGCTATACCATAGGCGCCGGGCTGTCTGTGTGTCTGTCTGTGTGTCTGTATGTCTGTGCGTGTGTCCGTCTGTCTGTGTGTCTGTGTGCAGTCTGCCAGTGGCCGGGTACATCATCCGTGTCAACAGTGGAAGCAAACGACGGGCCGCTTTGCTGAAGTTTGTCTGCATTATGCAGGGGTCACTGGGTGCGTGGGATTAGTTTTAGTTATATAATTAGTTTTACGGCACTTGCAACACAAATAGGTTGTATAAGTGCCAAAAGTGAGAGGTGCTATTATACAGTAACGTACAAAGAAAAAAAGGAGGATAGATTAAAACGATAGGTGTTTCATAGGAAAGAAGGAATAGAGATTAAAAGGATAGATGTTTGATAGGAAAGGAGGAGAGACTAAAACGATGCATGTTTGATAGGAAAGAAGGAACAGACCACACTAGAGCACCCACCAACCGCCAGCACTCAGGGTTCGGGTTAGGAAGCTTGTTGACCTCGAGATTAGGTGAACAGAGACTGTAATCCCAGCAGGAAGTGAGGTCACTCGGTACATTCATTCATTCATACACGATCCTCAAGGTGCGGTTCGGTTAGGTTCTGGGGGTGAAGGTCGTTATGGAGCAGAGTACATAATTGTGGGTGGCCTAGTTTTGCTGTAAACACTAAAGGTGCATAATTTAACAGATAAGTGTAGGAGACAGGTGTAACAAATAGGCGTAGCAGATAGGTGTAACAGAAAGATGTTACAGACAAGTTTACGTAACACAAAGGTGTTAGACTACTGGACTCGTAATCGTAAGGTTGCGGGTTCGGGTGTTCGAGCGCGGGCCCGACGTTGTGTCCTTGGGAAAGATCTTGTCAGTGTGTTAGTGTTTTAGCTCCTGTAAATGGCTGCTCTCAGGTCTGCTGGGGGTAATAGTATAGATTGTGACGCGCATAGAGCTTGCTGTTTAATGGGGGTTTGCGCCATACAAATGCTGCCTGTTATTATTATTATTATT